AGAGATTGGTAGCCAGGGAGAAAAATTGTTACAATGTGCTTCCAAATCCCAAATGAACGTCTAGCTGGTATAGATTGGATGATCAAAGTGTCAACAGCAGTTGTACTGTTGCGGTCAGTCTGCGTGGATTGCGCCGCTGTGAACTCATGCACACTTCTTTATCAGTTCACGACTTCATGTCTGCACACTGCACTCATCTTTCGTTGTCAAAGTGTGGGACGTCAAAGTGGCAGGCAATCTTGGAGATTCTGTACGACTGCAAGGTCAATCTTGTAAGGGGTGCATCTGGTCGTGGTCTACTGCTCCAGATCACTTCTTGTTCCAGCTAATCACACCAGGCACCTGCGGCTGAACGGTACACACATTTACGTTGATTTAACTGTTTAGTAAATTGCGGAACTCACAGAAGAATACGAAAATGTTAGGTGATACCCCCCCTTTTTTTTTTCTTTTGAACGTCACTACGCGGCCATGCTGTGCCTCTAGTGCCAGTGGCGTGTCTGGAGTGTAGTTTTTGGCTGTGACAGACCTTTCTTTGTTTCGTGGGTGTTTTGCTGGCTTGTGATGGGGTGTGAACCGACAGTCTGTAGAGTTTTCCATCTGGTGTGGGTGTACCTTGAGGGCAGTGGTTGGTGCACTCCTGAGGGTATTATCAGTATATGGTTTGTGCTTGGAAATTTGAATAGACGCTTAAACCACGAGTACGCTGCGCAGAAAAAATTCTCCAATGCGGCACACCACGCGCCATGGCTTTTGGGGGCCGGAGGGCCGTTGATGAACGAAATATGAAAGGCGGCCCCGACCCCCAAAGGCTGCGGCGCATGCTGTGTCAGGCAGAAAGAAATTCCTGAAAAATGTACTGGTGGTTCAATGAAAAAACTATTGCTGTCCTTCTTGCCCTCCGTTTCAATTGGAACGATCCAGAGAAGGGTAAATTAGCAAATGGCCCCTGGAAAAAAAAAATTGCTGATCATAGACTTCGGGTGGTCTTTGTCATGGATGCATGCACTGCCATCTTTCATGTTTTCTCTGCAAACCGCTGTTCTTCAGGGCGACGGGAGCGGTTGCGTAAGTATCTATGGGAGCAAGTTTGATGATGAGAACTTCATCGGCAAACACACAGGACCTGGATTACTCTCGATGGTACGTGTGTGTCCGCTTCTCGACCAACTTGAACCAAGTGGTTCAGACTCTAAACCACTTGGTTCAAACCCAGAAAGGTGTCCTCCTCAGGAGGAGCATTTGCGAGAGTAGCTGGGGAGTCGGCAGAGTCTTGAGGGAGAAAGGAAGGATGATTTGTTTGCTAGTCTAATGTGAAAGGCCAAGGCTGGCGGGCCCCCCTGGACAAGCTGCAGTCGCAAATCGTATCCTCACAAGTGGTTAACAGGGACCCACACTTTTCAGCGTCAGGTTAACACCCCCAGCACTGAAAAGTGCATTTGGGTCTGGCTTAAACCTCGAAGTACACGGCCCCAGCCTTGCAGTCCGAAACTTGTCGTCACAAGAAGAAACGAGGCCGAAACGTCAAACGCTGGGCCCACCATTGATAAATTCAATCGGCGGCCGCGTTTCTGTTTCGCGCCTCCAGAATTTGAGGTGTCAGGCCCGGGGCCCAGGTGCCCATGTACTGGTGCTTTAAAGGGTAGGGGACGTTTGTTATAACTTATAATGACCCTGAAAAAAACCCTGAAAAAATTAGGGCTCTGTTAACTCAGCTTAACTGCTTCTCTAATAACTCAAGGCTAGGTACACTGTCGGGGTCCCAGGCTGCCGTCTTCATCCGAATACGATGTATGGTGAGTACGGTCATTTTTGCAGTATGTAGACTGAAAGATACCCCAGATACAGCAATAATGACCAGACGTTGTATTCGGGTGAAGGCAGCAAGGGCTAGGACTGGACGGGTGGAGCTCGCAAAAGGGCTTCAGGTGGGGTAATTTGATGATTTCGGCACTTTTTCAGTCGTGTTTTTTTTCTTTCTTTCTTTTCAAATTTGAAATGTTTGCCTTTTTCTTTTCTTTTCTTGGTTTTGTCCTTTTATGATTTCAGTTCTTGGAGGACTGAAAGTTTATGGGCTTCAGGTGGGGTAGTTTGATGATTTCGCATCATTTCGGCACTTTGTCAGTCGTGTTTTTTTCTTCTTCTTTCTTTTCAAATTTGAAATGTTTGCCTTTTTCTTTTCTTTTCATGGTTTTGTCCTTTTATGATTTCAGTTCTTGGAGGAGTGAAAGTTTATGGAGGCCTCTGTGTGAATACTACAAGGATTAAAATGAGGGTCGGGCCCCACTCGTGCTGGGAGACCATGAACGTGGCCATAAAAGTGACCAGATTTGTAGAGTATGGTGCAAACATA